AAAAAAAGAAGAAGGTCTAATGTCTAATTTCTTAAGATTGTAATAGAAAGACTTTAGGATGTAACAGAAAGGCTAGTAATATATATTGGTCAGAATGCAGAGAAAATGGAACCTGTGGACATTGCTGGTGTGACTGTAAAGTGGTACAGCTGCTGTGAAGAGCAGCTTGGCAGGTCCTCCCAGAATTAAACATATGACTCAGCAGCTCAGTTCCTAGGTAAGCACTCTGTGAAAATGATTGCACACAAATACTTGTACGTGAATGTTCACAGCACCATTCCTACTAGCCAAAAGGTAGGAACAACCCAGGTGTCCACCAACTGATGAATGGGTGAATAGTTTAGGGTATAGCCCTATGGTGGAATACTATCCATCCATTAAAAAGGAATAGATGTCTGATATGTCCTTCAATATAGATGGACCTCAAAATCAATATTCTGGATGAAAAAAAAAAAGCCAGACACAAAAGGCCAAAAATGCTAAATGATTTTTGGGGGAAATGACTAGAACAGGTGAATCTGTAGAGACAAAAGGTAAATTAGCTCTTTCCCATCTTGCAAGATGGCAGGTGAAAAATCTGAGAAGCCAGAAACTAAAGAAAGAAACCCGAAGCCAAAAAGGCTGCTGCCAGTAAAAAGGGTAAGGTGAAGGCAAAAAAGTCGAAGAAGAGGTGGCCCCACTGCAGCCAAAATCCTGTCCTGGTTAAAGGAATTGGTAGGTACTCCGAACCTGCTATGTATTCCAGAAAGGCTTTGTACAAGAGAAAGTGTACAGCTGTTAAATCAAAGGTTGAGAAGAAAAAAAGAGAGTTCTTGCTATGATCACAAAACCAGTTGGTAGGGACAAAAATGGAGGTACCCGGGTGGTTAGGCTTCAAAAAATGCCTAAATCCTACCCTACTGAAGATGTGCCCTGAAAGCTCTTGAGCCATGGCAAGAAACCCTTCAGTCAGCATGTGAGGAAACTTCAAGCTAGCATCACTCTCGGCACCATCTTGATCATCCTCCCTGGGTGTCACAGAGGCAAGAGAGTGGTCTTCCTGAAGTGGTTGGCCAGTGGTTTGCTACTGATGACCAGGGCTCTCAGCCTTAATCATGTTCCTTTATAAAAAACACACCAGAAATTTGTCATTGCCACCTCTACAAAAATTAATATCAGCAAAGTAAAAATTCCCAAAAGCCTCACTGATGCTTACTTCAAGAAGAAGCTGCGGAAACCCAGACACCAGGAGGGCAAGTTCTTCAACACCAAGAAAGAGAGATACCAGATTTCAGAGCAGCACAAGGTGGATCAGAAAGTGATGGATTCACAGATTTTAGCAAAGATCAAAGCTGTTCTCAGCCCCAGGGCTACTTGCAATCCATTTTTGTTCCAAAAAATGGAATTTATTCTCTTTTTTTTTTTTTTTTTAATTTTATTTATTTATTTGAGAGAGAGAGAGAGAGGCCAGCTCAGCCCACCAGGGGGCGGGCTGGCTGGCATGTGGTGCTGGGGGATTGAACCGCGGTCCCTGATGCTTTTGCTAAGCTTGTTCTAAGTAGGTGCTTTAGACCACTGAGCCATCTCTCCAGCCCCGGAATTTATTCTTATAAATTAGTGTTCTAATTTTTTTTTACTAAGAACCTAATTAAATAACTGATACATTTAACAAAAAAAGTTAAATTAATGCTTGTCGGGGCTGAAGAGATGGCTCAGTGGAATAAGCGCTTCCCTGGCAAGTACAAGGGCCTGAGTTCAATCCACAGTTCCGCAAAAAAAGAAAAAAAAAAAAATTAATGCTTGTCAAGGGCTGGGGAACAAAGAAGCAGTGATTCCTAATAGGTAAAAGGTATCTTTTGGGTTGATGCAAATTTTCTAGGATTAAATAATGGTGACAGGTGCACAATTTTGTAAAAATACAAAGAAGCCACTGAATCGAACATTTGATAAACATGAGTTTTATGGTGAGTTACTTCTCAGCCAAGAACAATGCCTTTGGGGTGTTTCTACTTCAGAGAAGGCCAGCAGTGGCTGAAGTGGTGGAGCCCCAGACACTGTGCCTGCAGGAGACAATCTGATGTTAGTGGTGTGGGGAGTGGGTAGCGTATTCTTCCCTACATGTGTACACTCCTGTTTCTGATGCCTGTAAAAGTATCTGAAAGAGTCCAGAAGACAGTAAGCGAAGTGAAACCTAAAGCACAGAACTGGGCTTAACCTTTGTACTTTGAAAGAATCACAAAGAAAATTGAAAATGTTTCAGCAAGACTGGGTGGAGGGATTCTTTAGAGAGATGGCTGACCTAGTCACAAAATCCACAGGGCTGCATTTTAGTTCAGAACAACCTAGATGGGAATGGGTGATGAGAACATATGCATTACTTGACTACTCTTCTTGTATCAGTATATGTTCATTAAGGCAGAGAGGGACAGACATGGGACACACATAGGTGTAGATGAGATTTTGGAGAAGAATGAAGCCCATAACAGTGCTGTTCACACTACTTATAGGGATAGACCATGTACAGAAGGACACACAGAGACCCAGTCACCTTTAAAGAGAACCAAGGCTAGGTTGGAGAGACCTTCTCTGGACTACGCTCTTGCATAGTGTTGACTGCCCTGTCACATTTATTACATTACTTTGTCATAATGTCAGCATGAGGAGGAATGGCAAGTTTGGCCTTGAATACTGAGGACACGAGGAACTTGGCAAATCCTGTCCCCTACCCAAGAGTGGCCTCTGAGGCATCTGGGTCCACATGATGCCAGAAGAAGACTGTCTTGCAGGATCCACTTTTAGCCTTCAGAAAACTCACCATATTCTTGTGGTAGGGAGTATCAGCCATGTGCCTACCTGCCAGCTCTCCTGATTCCTTGTCAGCTGACCCAAGTGTGCCCAACCTTGGGAGGAACCAGCTCCCAGCCAGCTCTGTGTTCATGAGGAGAAACAACAATACTCTGTAGAATTTTTTGTTGCTAAGCTAGGATGTGCAGGAGCTTAGGTGCATTTGATGCACTTTAGACATACAAAATTTTCCACTTAGTATATTTCTCAGAATATAACCCCTTCATAAGACAAGGAGCATCTGCACAGGGTGTGTGTGTGTGTGTGTGTGTGTGTGTGTGTGTGTGTGTGTGTGAATGTGTTGAAGGATGGTATAGTCCTAGCAGGACTTAAGTGTACAAACCAGTGAGCTACTGGGTCCATCTGCTTGTGAATAACATAACAAGAAGGTGGGGACTCAGTGCACATTTCCTTGTTGTAGCACATACTAAAATTAGGAGATTAGATTAATTACTGTCTCTCTGTTGGTTTGTGGACTTTCCAGAGTAGGCTCTTGTCTCTTGTACATTTTTTCCTAGCACTAACGATTAACTCCAGGTGCTCTGCATGAAGCTATATCCTTAGTCTGATGGGGCAAGACAGACTCCATTTTCTTTCTGTATCTCCATTTTAATGAAAATCACTTAAGTTCACTCAAACTATAGATAAACTCGCTCCCTCTTATCCCCTCCCCTGTAGCTAACTATAACCCACTGAGGAAAACTAGACCATGAAAAAGGAGGCAAACAGAACATCTTAGGAAGTAAGGTGAAAGTCAAACCTCAATATTGTATGGCCAGCAACTGGTCTACAGTACCTGAAAAATGTAAGAACATAAATCTTGTAGTAATTGTGTGGCATGAAAAATGTGGTTGCTATGGATACCTAAGAAGTATATATCCTGAAAACAAAGTTCAGGCTGGAACCTACAATTTGGGAGTGCTGACCTAAATGGTCTCAAGCTCACAATAAAAGATTCCTTGTTCCAACACACTCATCTCTCTTGTGTGGATTTGTCTTTACTTGATGTCATCTTCCACTACAAGTTCTTTTCACCTTTTATTTTTCAGACAGGGTCTTGCTAAGTCACTAACGTGCCCATACTGGACTTGAACTTGCGATCTCCTACCTCAGTCTCCCAGAGTACTAGGATTATAGTATGCACTACCACTCCTGGCTGTTTCACTCTCATTTATATCTACAATGTGTGGAACAGTACCACCACCCAAGGTGGCCTCAGGCTCTTGTGGGAGGAATGAAATGAGTAGAGACTCCAGGCTTCACAGTTTACCCACCATGATGTGTCCTTGTCACTCCCTGGACAAAGCCTGGGGATAATGAAGCTCCTCTGTGCCCCACTGTGGAATCCAGCCATGCGACAGCAGGTGCAAATTGGTGGTCTAGATTTCCTAGCCTGGGGGAACAGGGAGGCGTCCCTGGGGTGTCTCTCCACCTACCTGGTCCAGGTCATAGAGCAGCTGTAGGGGACTCTTCCTCTCCCCACCAAGCCAGAGGGAGCCCAGGGCCCTGTTTTCAAATGCTGTTGAGTGCAAGGAAAGAAGTATCACCATGGGTCTGGGAAGATGGCTCAGTAAAGTAAGAGCTTCCCTGGAAAATGTGAGGGCCTGAGTTCAATCCCCAGTTCTGCCAAAAAAAAAAAAAAAAAAAAATCACTGTTGCATCAGGTGGGCTAGCCCTAAACTACCAGGGTATGGTCATCCCACTTAGGATACATCTTTTCTGGAACTCAGTCCTACCGTTCTGCTGGGTGTTTGGTGGAGTAAAGATATTGATGGGGGCCCTAATTTATCAGGGCAGTATTCTTTGAGTCTGTTTTGCCCCCATACCCTGTCCTCTAAAGCTGGAGGGTGCCAGATAAGAGGGAAGGAATACCCAGCCCACCAGCTTTCTGGGAAGGGGTCTGAGCTCCAGCCTTACCATCTTCAGTCCCTTCATCTCATACCCGTGTCCCCGCCACCTCCACATTTGTAGAGCCCTGAGGGGCTCACCAGTCTGGCTGGCTTTCCAGCACTCCTGGCCCTGGATGTAGGCATCCAGGAAGGGCTAAGTAGTATCACTGAGATTCAGGCCTAGCTCAAAAGTTGACAATTTTTAAATTCATAAGAAAATTGACCGGCGGGACCAGTCCCAGCCCAGGCGCAGCGTGGGCCGGACCCTCTCCCACCCCCTCGGGCCGCCCCACCACCACTCCGCCATACCTCCCTCACCCCTCCCGCCCAGTAGAAATTTCTGCAG